GCAGCTGTGCGGGGCGGGGCAGGGGCAGGGGCAGGGCATGGCCGACGCGCCCTCTGCCTGCGCTTATGTGAGAGAAAGGGCCGAGGGAGGGCGCGTGCCGCGCCGGCTCCCGCCCTCCACCTCCCCTCCGAGGCGCCCCTCCCCCGCGGCCCCACCCCGCTCCCCGTCCCTCTCCTCCCGGCGAGAGCCGGACGGGGAGCCGGCCGCCTTAGAGGCACAGACCGAGCGCGCCGTCAAGGTTGCAGCGGAGGAGAGGCAGGTACCGTGGGAGGGAGGAGGGCGCCGACCCTTTGTCCCCGGCCGCCCCGGCTCTGTCCTTTCTCAGAAGTGCCTCGCCCTCCGCGGCGTCCCGCGCAAAGTCTGGACCCTGCGAGAGAGTGCTACAGTTTTTAAGGGAAGGTCGTCGCTCTGTGAGAGACCTTCACTGGACCTCGGAACAAGCAAAGGCCCCCACTTCCCTGCTCTGCTTAGCTTGAAGTTGCTTGGTGAAGCAAGAACTATGGGACTTCTCAAAATGCAGTGCGTCCTGGTGGGATAGCTGCGAGGGACCTCTTTGGCATCCAAAACTTCCGGCAGATGGGAAGAAGGGCCAGAATCTTAATGGATAGGAGAGACAGGGCCATCAATTTCTGCAACAAGTTGGTTTTACTGGAGAAAGGGGGTGATAAAGAAGGACAAGCGCTACCATATTCTAGGAAGGATTTCTTGTCTACAGAGAAGTGGCTGCATTTCTCACTGGAGAAGCACCGAAGGGCCGCGTCCTGGTGCTAGTGGCCCTGGCTCTCCATTGGCAAAGGTTGGGCAGGTGGCAGAGATCCGGCTGAGAAGCTGCAGGAGCTCGCAGAACGTGAAGATCTAATTTTTTCTTCCAAGCTACTTTAAATACATTGATCTTATAAGTGCATAAATCTTAGGGAAGAAAGTTTCTTATCTGATTCAACTCTTTAGATTTGGAGCTCTGAAAAGCTCCCTCTACCTGAAGATTTAAATGCTGTACCTACAAAAAAAGGCATTTTTCCACCTTGTTTCCCTGCATTCCATTTTCTGAAGGTTCCTTCCATCTGTCTACTGCCTTTGACTTCCATGTGTTTATGGAATAAATCTGATCTAGTTTACAACCATAACTCCCTCAAATATTTTAAATACTTTATATCTGTCACGTTCTACCTATGATAACTTCCCTCTCTTTTTCCCCCTGTGACAGATCAATTTCCCTCATCAATCGTACTGTTTAAGTTGATAAACTATACTGCTCAGAACGTGGCTAGGTACTTCAGGTGTCCAGGTAAGCGTGCAGAAAGGGTATTCTTTGTCCAGACAGCGCCGCATTTGTCTACAAAGCCTTGGATTTATTTTCTGCTCACCAGAAAATAGTATTGGCTCAAACTATTAACCAGGGCTCTTTTAAGAAGAACACCGTGAGTTTGAGGCCAGCATGCACTACATACGGAGACCCTCCCATAAATACATAAATAAATAAATAAATAAATAAATACATACATACATAAATAAATACATAAATAGATGTTGAAGGGAGAACTCATTGTCCTGAGTGGCTCCATTTTGCCTGTTCTAGAGCCTATTCTTTGTCTAGGCCATTTTTTTCTCCCCAACTCATCTCAGATTCTAGGAGGAACCCGCCTTGCAGGCAGATCACCTGATGACAGAAACTAATGCTGGCCCCAAACTGAAGTAATCACCTCAAGTAGGACCTGAACCTCCACCTCCACCCCCAGCTGAAGCCTCAGGAACAGTTAATCAAGATGGAAGATCATCGCCTGACCCCACCACACAGGAACAATTATCTGGTGAGAATGAAATTGGCCCCAACCATAAAGATGCATCCAGAGGCAAGAAACCGGGACTGAGATAACCAGCCTGACCTCAGCACACCACATAAAGCTGGTCTCTTTTCATAGTTACCTAGTCAGTCTGATCTCAGATTCACGTCCCTTTAAGTTCCTTATGCTGACCTCTCTTTCCTGTTTCCTCTTACTTTCCTCTTACTTTCCAGCTTGATCCTTGTCACGCCTGTGCCCCACTAATTTTCTTTCTTTTTTTTTTTTATTTTAAAAATAAAAGGAGGAAAACATGAACAGACAACCTTTTACAAAATAGCAAAAGAACAGTACAGACAATACAGAGGTACAAACAAAGTGGTAGGAAATAAACAATGCTTGTATTACATATTGATATCTTCAAAGTGGTATTTCCATATAAAGCTTTTTCTGGAGTTTCAAGCTGATTGCTTCAGTTTTCATTTTCATTCTCACTCAAGGATCTGTGCTAGGCAGTGACAGATTCTGCAGAACCAGACCAATGGTCAGCCAGACCACATTGTGAGTAAAACTGCCTTGCTATGCATTCCTCTTGTTCCCTGCCATAGTTCTTCTTCTACATAATCCTACAGCTATGTGTGATACCCTGAAGACAGGGCTTAAGACTCTAGTACTTCTGTTTCTTCCCAGGGTGGCTGTACAGAGTAAACTCCTTTCCTTGTCTATGTGATTGGATTCTCCAGGTACCAGGTAGCGGATCTGGTCTCCTAGGATCCTTAGTCCAGCTACCAGCCAACACTGCAGTAAGAAAACTTTTGAAGTCAACTAAATTTTTCAAGGTGTCTCATTTGTACTGTTACTTAGTCATCTCTACTTTGCCTGCATTTGTGGGACTGTTCCACTGTGCTAAGTTTGAACTTTGTTATTTGTCTTTATAAATCTCTCACCTACCACGCAGCTTTTTGAAACTCTAGAATCTCCACACTTTCATCCTATTACTCTTCTGTCTTCCTGATAATGTACATTAATTAAGCTATGGAAAAAAGAAGAGCAAAGGATAGACTGGGATAAGATTTACATGGAACTTGGAGTTTTCTTGCTACTTTGCTGCAGTACAGTACTTCTTACCTTTGCGCTTGGGATGACAGAAGATGTTTTCAAAAACAAGTACTGGTGTATAGCATTACCGTTCTAATTTAGTTGGCCTGGTTTAAGGATTCAACATCAAGATCCTACAAGGTTCAGACACTCCAGCATTTCCAACACCCACAGGGACTAGCTTTGTTTGAAAGTTGCAAAGTCAATAAACTCAAAATAAAGCAAAATATATTAACCATTGTATTGTTTGATTAGCAAAGTCTGTACATAGTAAAATTTCCCCTCAGACATGTTACCTTCCCACTGTTACTATTAAGTAAAGAAAATGTTGGCCAAAGGTGTACTTGAGAAACAACAACAACAACAAAACAACTATATATATATATATATATATATATATATATATATATATATATATATATGTACACGCACATGGTCGTACCTTGGTTCAGGAATGAGCAGGAGACAGGTACATTTGTGTTAGATGTTTGATATCATTATTGATCTGTATCCAAAACATTTTGTAAGAGTCCCACTGTAAACAGACTGAACTCCATTGTTAACCACACTCTCTCTGAGATTTTTTAGCCCTTGTAACTTAGAAGACATATGAACAAAAGCCTCCTTCCCATAAGCAGCTCCCTGAGTTCCAACTAGGAAGCAAGCAGGGGTGCCAGTGATTTCCCCTATTGCAGCTATTGCTTCCCTGAAAACTTGCAAATTTCTGAAGAGAGCAGTATGGGATGTTGTTTCTAAAGGCTCTGGGTCCTGCAGAGGTGGTCCCTTTAAGGACTCTGCTTTGGTGGTAGATGTCTGTGCTGGGAGCTGTTTTTTTTTAAGTGTCCACATCAGAAGTTGTTGACTGTGAGCTCTATAATGGACTCAAAACTGAACAAACCAAATTCCAAGTTGAGAATGTCTCAAGGGAAATGATTTTTCCTCTACTATGCACTTTTAAAAGATTTCTTCCAACTCTTTTCCAGTTATCAATATAGTGCCTGTCTGAGGAAACCATGGATTATATTTGGTTACCTCTTGTAACATTTTTGTTAGGTCTTTTGTTGGCACATGAGTCCCTGAGTGTTTGAGCAGGCTTTGGAACAGCTGCATGTATTTTTGCTCCTCTGCTGAAATTTTTTGATCCATTTTACTTCCAGATAAAATGGCTTGTTCACAATTGCAAGACTCACTCTTGAATGCTTTTCTACCCTCTATTTCTCTAGGCATCTCCAGCAAAGTTTCAGCCTGTGAAGGCCTTCTCCATATCCCATACTTTCCTCTCTAAGTAGACTTACTGATTCAGGCTAAAAATTCCCAGTCCACGAATTTCAGATCCGTGTTCCGGCACCATTTAGAGTAGAGTGATCAGGCTCACAACCTCCTAAACAAGTGGAGAGCAAAGATTTAAATAAAAGAGACAAGTGGTATGATTAGAGCTCCAGGAGTATCAAAACCTTCTAGCAGAATTCAAGATTCTCTGGGAACTCAGATAAAGAACTTCTATGGGCAACCCATATTTATTTGTAGTTTGTACAAAGACATCCCCAAGTAGTAAATTATGCTAACTAGGAGAACTGTCTTATCTCTAGGTTGACATTCACTGCAGGAGTGAGGCCCTTGCAGTTACAGTTTCTATCTAGTTAATTGGGATTGGAGACAGGCATCCTTAGCTGTAGCCTTATCTTGTTCTTTGCAGCATCATGGCATCACAGGTCACTACAGGCCTCAGCTGGGACCAGTGATTCATAGAAATTCACTTACTATGAATCCGCTGCCCGTCTCCAGACCAGGTTGCTAGGCCTGGCACAGACTCACAGTATACGTAGAAAACCAATTGATTAATTTTATATCCCACTCACAGCTGCTTCATGGTGATCTCCATCACACAAATGCTTTTGTTTGTGAACAATTTGGTTCACAAACAGATGCATTTGGCAAAATTTTGTGTTTATTTACAAACTGCATCCAGTGACAAATAGAACCAGAGCCATCTTTCCAGCACAAACACGAACTTGGCCATCTTTTCTAGAATCATGGAATGAATTAAGTTTGTGAACTGAGGTACCGTTGTGCACACGTGCACACATACACATATGAATATTAGATTAATATATATATATATGATGGCGGTCAGGACTATTTTTTTTTTAATCATTACCCCCTAGAGTATCCTTTTATACCATGAGTAGATATTAAAGCTTGAGAAGCCTCTTTGTACTGGTTTGTGAGTATAACACTGAATCTATACAAGTTCTCTTTTGCAACAGTGCTCCTAAAACACTAGGTTTTCCAGAAAGCATTCTTCAGTCAGTGGGACTAAAAGGACAGCTGGTGGCCTGGCCCCCATCAGAATAACATTGGTCTGTTTTGCCTAGTGGTTTTCTGTTTTCTATAATTATAATGCTTGATGGAAAATGATAATAAAATGTCTACTGTGCAGTCTCTCACATCCATTTTGTCTCCTTTAATTTGTTGGTTTCAGATTTCAGTTATTTCCTTTCTTCTTGCTTCTTTAGTTTTATTGTTATTTCTTTGCTCCAGTTCAAACTTTTATACTTAATTGCTCAGATCATTTTCTTTTCACCTTTCTAGTTTTTTTTGATGAACATATTTTAAAACTACAAGTTTTGGTCTAAACTCAACTTTACCTATATTTGTCAACTTTGACCTATAATAACCCCTTAGCAGGAGGTTGTAAACATATATTTTTATGATGTTTTCCTTTGTTTATTTTACTTCTTACTTATTTTTATTTTATACATGTTTGCAGTACATAATGGTTGCATACCTGGCAGGGAACAGGTACATGTACACAACACATTTAATTCTTAGTTTTCCATTTCATTTCTTTCCCCTTGCTGCCCTTCCTTTTATTTGTTACTCTTGCCTGAAAAGTTATTGAATTGTAATTTTTAGTTTACAGACATGGATTTTCGTTACTAATTTGTGATCTTATTATATTTGTTTGTGCTATAAGTGGTATTGATTTTTGAAATACATGGAGGCTTTTTGGTGGCCATGTACATGGTTGAGTGTTTCTTTTGTGGGATATTAGTTTTTAATCTCTTCATTGTAATATTTAAATATTCTATTGGAGTTACTAAAAAATCTCCCCTTATAATTGTTGACCCTCTTTTTCAATTTCTGATTTTTTTCTCTTTATTTTTAACTTAATTTGATGCTATTTCATTTTGATTTAGTTTTTGTTTAACTGGTATATAATTTTCAGTTTTGAAATTTCTGCTTTCTCTCATATTAAGACAGAATGCTTTGAGAACTGAAACAATCTGTGAAGATGATTTAGATAAATCTATACACCATTCCTGTCAACTTGACTTTGTTGTTTCCTTTAGACTAGGAAAGGAAAGATTGCAGAGAGACACTGAAATGTTGTTTGCATCAAGAAAGGCCAAGAAATCAGTGTATTAAAGACAAAATAATATTCTCACGCTGACAGCCTGCTTATCAACAACAGCTTACTTACCAAGACTCTCAGTAGTTTCACATCGTGGACTCGGCCAAGATCCCCAACTGCCTGTTTGAGGGTTACAGCTAAGGATGAAATAAGAGACAGAGACAGTTTAGTAATGCATAGGGCCGGGGAGGTCATTGCCTCAGAACTGGCAAAGAGGAAGACCTCTTCAGCTGGCCCACTTTTATTTTGCCAGTGAGAAGCACAGGGGAGGGGTAGTGAGTGACTCTGGGAACAGCAGAGTTGATTGCTGTGGGCTGTAAGAACAAACCATTCTTGCAAGGATGAGACAAGGGACCATAAAGAAAAGTAGTGTCCCCAGGTGAAACTTTTTACTACTGCTACTACATTGCCTTAAAGACCCTTGTTGTCCTCAGCAGGTCTTAACTTGCCCTGTGAGCAAGACAGGGTCACTAGCCGTAGGGCTTCAGGTGTGACCAGAAGAACGTGGGGAGTTTCCTTGGTCCAAACTGGCTCAAAGGACGGGACAAGGATGGCCTCAGGCATCCTCTAGACTCAATTTATAATCTGTGGTCCCCGACAGTTTCAAGAAATCTTATATTAATATATCATGGACTTTATCCAATCTGACTCAGTTCCATACTTTGAAAAACCCACTTTAAAACTACTTGAGTCCAGACCCCAAAGCCTTTCAGTTATTCCACTTCTCCCTTTCAGTGAGACACTGCTATGGTAAGACTCCATTAAAGTGGTGGGCTCCATGTCTGTTATAAATGCTACTAAATGCAGTTTTTGTTTATTAAAAGTTTTTTTTGCTGGTATTTTGTTGTAATTCAACAATTTAGAGGTCTCAGAGAAGTCCTATTTGTATCTCTCTTACTGCCAAAGCCCAAACCCCTCAATTGAGAAATAGTGCAGACCACTGAAGCCCCTTGAGAAGAAGTCTCTCTGACTACGATGACAGACTACACCTGACATCATAGTCTAGTCCTAATTTTTTAAAAGTAGTACTGCCACATGCTCCATGTATTTTGTTCCTTAAGATTTCCTTTCAGAAATCCTTTGGTTAATTAATCAGATTTGAAAATGATTCCTATAGAAATCTCCCACATTATTCACAACATTGCTTTTTATTCCTGATCCCTTCATTATTTTCCTTTGGGAGTCAACAACAGGAAGTTAATGTGAAAGGGGATAAGCACAGACCTGCTAAGTCAATTTATTAGATGGCCAGAAGATAAGGTGACTATTCAGACTGACATCAAATGGAGGAACTTTGTTGTAATTTTTCAAACATTTATCAGTTTCTGAATTCTTGCTTTATCTATGTGATGATGATTTTGAAAGAGATTTTGGGGGGGGGGGGTCCTGAGTATCAAACCCAGGTGCAAGACATCTCTAGTCCAAAGTTTTCACCTTCCAAGAATGCAGACTTCCCAAGTTTGCTATTGGAGATTATACAGCTGTATAGTTGTGGAGCCCAGCACATGAGGTACACAAAGCCTCATCTGATTGACTGCTGTCGGACTTTGGTGTGTTTGTTTCAGACTAAACCCCACTTCGTGTCTCCTCTAGGCCAGGTTCCTGCCTCCTGCATATATTTATAGTATAACAAATACATATGATTCACTGTCGATGGCATAATTTTATCAATACTAATTTGGAATTTTAGTGGCCATTTTGGGCCTGTAATAAAAACAAATTGTTGTTTGACAGGCTCCCTGGAATAGAAAGGTTATACAGTTGCACCTATTCAATTACCTGTATTTAAAGTTGGTCTGAGAAAGCTTACAATAGAATAGATTCCACAGTTGCTCCTATATATCTTCCATGGATAAGAAAAATGAAAAATGTGACAGGCATTTCATTTTAGATTTGCTAAGATTACAATTTGAAACTAAAAGCTTTTGTTGTACTATTCCCCTTCTCCCAAAATGACCCTCCACTGTCGCAAACACTGTCTGGTTGCTTAGCTTTCCTTTGCTTCTGCCCAACCAGGAACCCTGTAAGCTTGGCTGGCTCTAGAATCAACCAAGTAGGTACAAGCCCCTACTGGTGGCTAATAAGCCCTGTTTGTAGTCTGAGCTAAGAATCATTCTTAAACACTTTCCAAAATCTGTGAAGGACAGGTATACATTAAAGGACAATTTTCAAAGGCTCCAGGAACATATAATTTGGGTTGCTGGATCTCCATCCATTAATTTTCATGTGTTTAAGAACTTCATATGTGATGAAATAAACTGAAAACACAATGCAAATACCTTCAGTATGACAGAAGAGTCCCCCAGTTCCATAGTAAAACCAGAGGAATTTGGAAAATCCGTAAAATGTAACACAAAATTTTTGGAGGTCATGAACCAAACAAACAAAAGGGTAGCAACGTTGGAGATAGTAGAGCTCAGAGCTTGGAGTGGATTTAACTCCATCTCTTGCCTCACTTTCTCTGAATGGCCTTATGCCAGAGAAAAAAGAGATTTAAATCACGAGAGAAAATTAGAATGGAAAATGGTCCTCCTCACAGACCTCCAAATTCTCACTGAAGGAAGCTGGACATCAGCTAAACTACACTGAGTACCAGTTACTCAGCTTCCCACTTACCTTTAAACTCTCAAAGGCAATCTCTTCAATAGTAAAAGATGAGCATGTTTTTGTTTGATACTGATGTGACAGTATCAACCAAAAACCCTGCCACTGTCCCTCAACCACTTCCTCAGAGTTAATCTTTTCATGTGGCAGCTACTTCTCATACTGCACAGACCCTCGTCTTTTTTCAGCCTGAACCTGACATCTTTAGACCTTTACTAGGTAATTTTTTGGTGATACTGTACCTCATTTTTAATATGAAAGAGTTATTGTGGAAACTGCATGAGGGTAATGTGTGTCCTGTTGAATGACGCTAGAGGTCTTCACCTTGAGAACATTTTACGTGAAATTAATTACCTAGAGGAGGACAAATTGATCACTGCATAGGTAACAACACTGGTGGGGAAACTGTACTAATGTTGCTGAGAATGTCTCTGGAAGCATGTCTCACCAACATCAGTATATTTCTTGAAAAACTGTGAAAATGGACCCGAGCCCTTGCTTTGGATTTTGAATATCTAGTCTTTGTTTGTGAATTTTGAAGGTACAAAGAGACTTTTTTTCATGCTGACAGTAATAAAAAAGTTTACTTCATTTTATGCTTCAATCTGGGAAATTCCCACCTATCTCTCCAGTACTGATGTGGTTATTAGGAACCTTAGTGAATGTTTACTGTTTAACTCAAAAATTTTGTTGTCCCTATCAGCCTCAATCCTCCAGAAAGGCAGAGAAAGATAACCACATTTGAACTCTACTATCTTCCCATAAAAACATATAACAGCTGTTCATTTGAGTATTTCTTTTCCAGCTTGAGAGCAGTCTTAAGTCTGTTTCCTACAGCTATAATTGGACTGGGCAATTTACAAAGAAAAGTGGCTCATGGGGTTCATGAATCCAAAAGCTGAAAAGTCCAAGATTATACTGCTGCTAATAACTGATGAGGACCTTCTTTGTGAGTGATTACTTGGGGAAGGGCATCACATTAGCAGACACAACCGGTGTGCTAACTCACATCTTTCTTCCTCTTCTTAGAAAGCTGCAACTGTCATTATGTGGCTCCTACCCTCATAACCTTCTCTGTCCCAATTACTTCGCAAAGCTTCACCTCCAAATATTGTTAACATAAATGTGAAGATTAAGTTTGCAATACATGGATTTTGAGGGGGCACGTTTAAGCCACATCAGGCTCTTCCTTCTTTTGGGTAAACATGGCAAAGCACTATGAGAGACTCATGCAGTGCACAAAGTCTTATCACCAACAGGAATGAGTTCCACTTCCTTCATACACTCCCAAGCAGCCCCTACGTGACCTAAAGAACAAAAGCATTGTCATCTGGAAAAGACAGCACAGAAAAACTCCCTAGAACAGCCCTGGGAAGAAACGGAAGGAAATGTTGACTAGAACAACAGTGCAAGTCAAGAGTAGATACCTAGACTCATCTTTCCCAATAAAAAAGACAAAGGTTTGGCCCATAGACAACAGGACTGAAAGTCTATGAGGATATTTAAAATTAGGAATTCTGAAGAAATGTTCAGGAGTAGGTATCCTTTAGCTGAAATCAGCTTCAGCCATAAAGATGCCATCTGTGAGACATGGAGAGTTTCCACCCAACATCGGCCAAGCGAGACCTTAGTGATTGGGGCCACAGAAGCCACACTTGAATGCTTATGATGTTTTTTTCCTCTCTCTCTCTTTTCTTTTCATCCTCTCTATTTTCTTTCATCACTGTAGACCCAAGGTTCTGGACACTTAGCCAAGGATTGTTATTTCTTCACCAGTCAAAATTCAAGGTCTCTAACTTTAGTATTGCTTTCTGTATCTTTAGTCATTGCATGATATGATTCAAATACTGGAAGAAATCTGTACCTGGTTTGGCCAACACAAACAATCAAGTTCTATGTTTTGCACACATTTTGCTATGAAGGCCCATCAGCTAGGGCCAAATATTTGTTATAAAATATTTGTTTTCACAAATTATTGGAATCAAACACTAATTGACTTCTTATGTGAAAGAGGGCACAACAGGACAGCTATCCAAAATCAAAACTCTTAAAAGAAAGGTTTCTGCCTCCACCAAGCCATGCTCAAGGTCCCTTTCTCATAGATAGCATCTGTAAACAAACCTTCCTGGAGAAAAGACTCTGAAAGGGAACAAGCAACAGATGGTTGGTGTTTAAGATCTGCCTCCCATTTATAAAACTCACAAAGGCTTACTATATAGGTAAGTTTGATCACCTAGTAGATCTCCCCAGGTGACCTCTAGTGAACCCCTTTGCCACATGGGATATTTTAAATGAATGGAAAATTACTTAGTGTGGACAAAGAACTTAAAATAATAGTTAATAGTCTCTCCAAAAATTGTGCAACTTAAAAAAAAAGAGCTGTTAATAGTCTCTCCAAAATTTGTGCATAGAGGATTAATAATTACTAATATATGATGGTATTGTTAATATCACCTCTAATATATTAATCTTTATTTGTTCCTTATATTTATTATTTTTTTAACTCAAATTTAAATGATTATTCAAATGGTTGTAAAATACTAACATCAACCTTTTTTTCCTTAGGCACTTTGAGAATATTACTCTATTTCTCCTTCAAATATTACTAGAAAGAGAGATGAGCATGATAACAGTTCATAACTATAAAGTGCCTATTATATGTTTGAGCATATTTTTATACAGTGTGTATATTCTACTGTATTTATTAGACTTAAAATCTTAAGTAGAAAATATGTTCTATACTATATATATGAGAAAACTGAGTTATGGAGAAGTAAGTAACTTGTTTAGTGTTCTAGAGCTCATTTTAACAGAGCCTAGATTCAAGAGATTAAGCACTTCCCTGAACTGTGTAAGAATATTAATATGCTGGGGGTTTTGTTTTTGTTTTTTGAGTTTTAGGTTTGGTTTTTGTTTTTTATTTCTAGATCCTTAATTTCTTGTTGGAAACTTTTTGTGTA